CTGTGACTTGTTCCAGATGGTTTCCCATTCTTCAGCACTATCTTCTGATTCAATATCATTAGCCCATTTTGTCATAACCATTGTTTTTTCTTCTTTATGGCTATTTAAAATTGCTTTACATAACACAAGTCAATAGGCCCGTGTTTTTCCTTACTGTGACCACACTGGGTGGCTATCACACTGCGGGACACACGCTGCCTGAACCCATCGCCCCCGGCAGAAAGCCTAGGGAGAAATCTCAGCAATAGGAGCCTCGCAGATGTTGTCCCCCTATTCTGGTAATGTCCCTCTCAGGCCTTTCCAGCAGGGAAGAGTGAGTGAGCCACTGGGTCTCAGACCTATAGCATCCCCTTTATGCCCTTGGCCAGGGGGGGTTCTTGCATGCTGGAGCAGGTTTGTGGGTTGTTTTTATGGCCCAGAGGTTATGGGAGGCACCTGGATCTGATGTGCAGAAGGGCTGGGAGTATCCTTTCATCGATCCCTCCAGCCCTCAGTCTGCTCCACTCTGTCTGGTGTCACGGTGCCCAGAAGAGATGGCAATATCTCCGTTCACACACCCCCTCCCTGCAATGGGACTCGGGGCCGAGCGTTCACATACCCAAGTCCATGTCTGCAGCTTTTGGCCGATGGGAGCAGGGCACGTTCTTGAAGATGGCATCCAAAATCTTCTCCTTGACCTGCGTGATGGTGTCGCAGTTGAGGATCTTCACTGGGATCTCCGGGCTGTTCACGTTATCGGGGTTCACACAGCTCAGGACCTGGGGGAGGAAGGCAGAGAGGCAATGAAAAGAGCCATGCTTTTCAGGGAGCCACAGGCACCCCATCACCACCCCTCCCCAGCTGGCTGCATGCCAGCAGCACCAACCCAGCCCTGCAGGTCCCTCTAAGCCACGTGTGAGGTTGCTCAGTAGATAGATGGGGTCTGGATATGTGCCTACAGAGGGCTTGTTCCAAAAATAGGTCTTTAACTGGCTCAACACATGACAGGGCTGTTCTCATTGCTTTATGCTCATACTGATTAGCATCACTTAGGGCCTGCTCCTTTTTCTACTGAAGTTAAGGGCAAATCTCCCACTGATTGTGATGGCAGCAGGATGTAGCCCCTACCTAAGTGCACCGGCCTCCTCAGGTCCTTATTGCAAGGATGATGTGGTCTGAATTCCCCTCTACATGAGCTTTTCCCAGTGGGGTGCACTCACAGTACCCAGCTACCTTTGGAGCAGGCCAGCCCACACATTTGGGTTCCTCGATCCTCTCCTTCTTGACTTCTCAGTTGTGGCTGCCAAAAAAAAGCCCATTCTGCAGCCGAGGAACCAACTCTTTTCATACAGGTCACTTAAAAAGTTGTTCACAACTTCCAGCAGGTACTGCCTGAGGCTGGAAGACTGGCCAACGCAATGAAAAGCTTGAGGGCCTTTGCATCTGAGACAACTTCAACTTCATGAGAGCCTCACAAGTGTTACAAGTGAATAGGACCTCCTTTGCACTCTGTCACCCTTGGCTTGACTCTTTAGTCTGATCTTAAATCTCATAACCCGCAGCTTGTCTTCTTTCCAAGCTCCTCTACCAAGAGGCAGGCCAAACTTTTCTTAACTGGAAATACAGGGCTTCTAAAAAAAATCACCTCTTGCTCTGGGACTTGAAACAAGAAGTTACCTGATTAGCTAGGCCTCCAGTTTCTTGAGGGGATGCTGGCATCTGTTGCATGAGCATGGTCCAAGAACAAAATGAAAAGCATGTGGGGGGCTGAGAGGGGGAGGGGGTCCCTTCAGCTCAAGCACATGGAGCGTAATGGAAATTTGGCTGCTAACTCACAGGCATTTATAAGGCCAGGGCTCTGCTATCTCTGGATGGAGAAGGAAAAAAGGGTATACATTTTTATACACTTAACACGCTTTTAAATGTTGAAGGAGAATTAAACTGGGGCTGGTTAATGTTCTGGCCTTTGTACAAGAGCAGAGGTAAGGTCCCAATTCCTCCACACACATGCAGGAGAGACAGGATGCTTCTTGACTTCCAGTCCTACGCTATTGAGCGCTGTGATATCAAAGGGATGTCACCTTCCATTCCTGTCTTCCAGGAGCGGGGAAAGCAATCATTATGTATCATTTACAAAAGGCTTTGTGAACTTTTACAGGAAAGGCACAATATAAATGTAAGCCATTGATTGGATTCAATTACTATTATTCATATCCCTTCTGGGAGCATTGGGGAAGCATAAATTCACATAATCATTGTAATAATAACAACAGCAATCATTTACATTTCTATAGCATCCTTCACCTTAGAAGATCACCGAGGTATTTACAAACAGCACCAATAATGCACAGCCACCATTGGGGTGATTAATCATGCTGCCTAACTCAGCGGGGAAGTGCGGGGTGGGGGGGAAGAGTGAGGAAATGTTGATGGAGGACCTGGGAAATGTCATGGGATCATAAGTAGCCATGGAAATCAGTTATGTTTAAAGTATCGCCCCATGCAATAAGCTACCCACAGATCATCTGATCACCCATGCATGCTGGACTGAGTTGTCCCTGGGCAGAATGGATCCAGTCATATCATAAACACAATTTCATCCCTAGGAAAGCAGCAGAAAATGAGGGTTGGAAGGGACTTCAGGAGGTCACATCTAGTCCAACGCCCTGCTCAAAGCAGGACCAGCCCCAGCTAGGTCATTCCAGCCAGGGCTTTGTCTACCCAGGTCGTAAAAACCTCCAAGGCTGGAGATGCCACCACCTCTCTGGGGAACCTGTTTTAGTGCTTTACTACCCTCCTAGTGAGAAGGTTTTTCCTGATATCCAACCCAACTTTGGGGCCTTGGCTGCTTTGCGTTATTCATGTCAACAGCCATGAAGCCGAGATGGGAGCTGGGTCATCTTTTATTCCCCACAGAATGAGAGAACAGCACTGGAGCAAGACGGTCTCATGGCTGGGATCTGATGGTGCGAGCTGCTGAGAGTCCCCAGTCCCAGGAAAGGTAATGGGCACCCAGGACCCTGCTGGATTGGTTCAATAGACTGAGACCTTCTAATACATGTAAGGGTGAAGTTACATGTTACACCTAGACTATGCTAAGAGAACTGAAAACACAAGCATCCACGCGTTATTAATTCATTGACTTGTGGCACGTGCCCTTTGAGTGTCTCAAAGTTATGCCACTTCGGATGCGGGTTAACTCGGGACCACACTACCTAGCTCGTCTTAGGGTAACTTCAGTCTGCTCTGTGGAGATAAAGCAAACAATTTGCAGTCCTTCAGCATCCCAGGATACACTGCTCCCAGGCCCTATCCCAGAGCAGGATCCCTGGCCACACCCCTGCTCACCTGCCCCCTAGTGGCAAGTGAGAGCTATGCAAGCAAGAAATAGTATTAACCCTTAACACAGGACTGCTCAGAGCACTTTCTAATTTTAACACTACTAAACATGCCCCGTATTTAGTCTGGGCAACGTATAATGGGTAACTTCACCCTACCTCGCCAAGCGGGCTTTATCAGAGCTGTAGATGAAGTAGAGTTTGCCCCCTTTTGAGTAAGATGTCAAACACCAGGGCACGATTACAGACCACACACTACATTGTGTTCGTCTGACTATATAGGTAAATACTACTGAGAAGGCTCCAGGTTGATTGGGTTTGTTTTAGATGCTGAGCAGCTTACCAGTGACCTGTCTGCTCCCTCTCACCCTCTCTCTGACCAACTGATTTCTGAGGCAGGCTGCCTGCCTATGGGTTATGCCCACCAAAGCAAATAAAATGCTATGCAAAGCCAAAATAGTGCCCCCTCTCCCAAATGTTGGTTTTCCAAGTAGAACTGCAGGATTTGCTGCTCGGGCTGGGCCACGTGGCTTGGAGAGAAACCAGCCCCAGACTTGGTAGCTTGGTAGGTGAGGATCATGCCGGAGAAGCAGAAAGTCTTGAATTATAACACTGACATCCGCTCTGATTTCCTGTGCCAGCATCAATGAGTGACTCACTGTCTCTTCTCAGCAAAACAATATTTCAACTGATTAATAAAAATGTTTCATTAAAAAGACCCACACTCCCTGATCTCTGTGCTTTTGTTGCATGCCCTACAGATGGGGCTGGGCACGGCTGTCTGCAGTGTCTGTAGTAACTCACCAAGCACAGAAGAAACCCTATGGTGACTGCAGACGGTCTAAGGGGTCACCAGCCGGTATGAAGAAGGAAGGGGAGATACATCTAGGACATTTCTATGACACTAACAGCAATCAAATCAGGCCTAGCTTTATTTCATTTGAATTGAAAAAGCCACAAAAGACTCCAGAACAATGTCTATTTATTGTGGGGGGAAAAAATGAAAGCAGAGAGAGACCAAAAGGAAGAACAGTCTCATTCATATTTTCTTCCTTTTAATCTCCATCGCTGCAACTGATCTCTGTAAATCTGCTAAGATTCCTATCGGGAAATATTTGCTCTTGAGACGTAAGAGGGAAAGCTGATTAACATCAAACACCACCAAGTGAATGGAGGGAAGCTTTGTTCAGCCTGATGTATAATTACTACCTCTTCTCACTGGCTGCTTTGTACCCAGTCAAAAGGATTTCCTTTGGTGTAAGCGATCGCTCTGTCTCTCTGTTGTCTACATTTTTCTCTCCTTTGCTCCGTTTCTCCAAGTGAGATTGGGATTTCATGTTGCTACGGACTGTCAACTGCAGAGCAGAAAAGAGTCCAAGCCCTGCCGAGATCACATTCAGACAAGATGAGATACACAGAGGTAGCAAAAGGAAGATTTGTGAGGTCTTGGAATAAGTAAACGAAGTCACCCGCTCAGGGTCACTCATTAAATCAGCCTCTTCCAAGTCCTGTCCTCAGTCATATAAGCATGCTTTCTCCTGGATTACACCCACCTCTGTATTACCTAAGCAATGAATTTTCTCTCTTCCTACTCCCATGTGTCTGCTCTTGCCTATATAATCTTTTCTCCCTGAACATCCAAAGCAGGGTGAGCCATCAGGCCTGGACCCCCACCTTGTATCCGGATGTACATGCAAGGAGAGGAGGCATATTACCTCTGTCTACAGCACGAGTGTGACCATTTTTACTATCCCGGTTCTTCTTCTGCCTTCAGTGATGACACTGAAAAACTGGAGAAAGTTGCAAAAAGAATCACGAGAATGATTCAAATCTTGGGAAACTTCCTGTACAGCGGAGAGACTTAAGAAGCTCACTCAATTAATTTTTTCCAAGTCAGGGTGAAGAAGTGAATTCATCACAACCCAGAAGTACCTATGCAAAGGAGAGGTTTCTGGTAGTTGAGAAATCTCTAATTGAGCAGAACAAGGCATAACACGATTCAATGGCTGGAAGCTGAAGGCAGACACATTTGGAGCAGAAAAAAGGTACAGAATTTTAATCTTCAGAATTAACCTTTGGAGCAACTTAGCTAGAGACATGGGAGATTCTTGCTCACCTGAAGCCTTTAAACTAGGAGAGGATCTTTGTCTGAAAGGGATGCTATTGCCCCAGTGATGTGAGTGATGCAGGGACTGTGGGATAGATTCTTTGGCCTGAGCTGTGCAAAATGGCTGTCGAGATAGTCATGGCTCCTTTGTGACCAGCGGAAAGTTTTTTGTGTGCATTCGGCCACGGGGATGTTGTTCGTCTTGAGATGCCGGGATAGACCTTTCCACTGGGTTCCTGTGCCATTTTGCTCATCAGTGTGTTTTCATGTAGGACTGATTTTTCAGAAGAGATGTGAAGGGCCTGGGGAGGGTCACAAAGCTGAAATGCTGCTCCGCAGCACAATGGTCCTTGCAGGGATGCTAAGGATGGAAAAATCCTACTAGCTCAGGAAGACCACGACAACATTGGCCAATGGATGATTCTTCTTTGATTTCTCCAATTTAAAGCAATAGGGCTTTTTCCATACCCAACAGGAGACTGTTCTCCCCTAAGTACATCCACCAGCTAGGAGGTTATAGCCAATAAGCAGCCTTCCCACCTCTTCTTCTCTATTGGCCCTAGTTAGGTGCCCACGATCACTGGTCAGTAGGGCCATGCAAAATTTCACCTGGTGTTTCGTTTTGAAGTTGTTTTCACGCGTTTTCAGCTCGAAACAGGGAAATCAAAATGAAGCAAAAGCCTTTGAAACGGCTTCAGAATGAAACAAGGGTTTCGAAACATTTTGAATTTCGAAGCCAGACTTACTGGCTTCAGCGCCGGTCCCAGCCGGCAGCACCCAGCTCCTGTCATCTGGCAGGCAGATCGGGCGCTCGTCCGCACCCCTGGGAGGGCTGTGGGGGCTGTGCTGGAGTCCTCCTGGGGGTGCAAGCTCCTGATCTGCCTGCCGGCTAACAGAAGCTGGGTGCTGATGCCTGGGGCCAGTGGGGCTGGGGCAAGTCAGCTCATGTGAGGACCTGCTGCCCCAATCCTGGGGTGGGGGAGGGTCCCCGCATGAGCTGATCTGCCCTGGGCCCCACACCCTCCTCGAGCCAGCTCCAGCAGCCAGGGCAGGGCGGGTCCCTGCACATGCTGATCTGCCCCAGCCCCGCTGGCCCCAGACAGCAGCAACTGGCTCCTGGGCAGATCAGGCAGATCTGGGAGGGCTGCGGAGGCTGTGCCAGAGTCCTCCCAGGGGTGCACGCCCTTGATCTGCCTGCCGGCTGACAGGAGCCAGGTGCTGACACCTGGGGCCAGTGGCAGCACTGATCTTCCCAGCACTGGGTGTGGGTTATGCCCAGCACCGGTCTGTCATCTGGCAGGCAGATCAGGGGCCCTGGGAGGACCCTGGCACAGCCCCTGCAGCCCTCCCGGGGGTGCGGAGGTGCCCCCAGTCTGCCTGCCTGCTGCATTTTATGTTTCCCCATAATAACCTATGGGTGAAACATTGAAACAGCGTCGAAATAGCGAAACAGTTTAGACGAAAGGAAACAGAACAGTCATTTTGAAACAAAATGAAACTCAAAAAGAAACACTGTTTCCTCGAATCGTCGAAACTGGAGTCGAATGGGAACGGTGCTCCTTCACACAGCCCTACTGGTCACCATTAAAAGCCAACACTGGTACACAGATGACATCTGTAGAAATGGGAAACCCTGTGGGATGGCATATTAGCTTTCTAGCTTCAGAGGCATTATCCAACTACTAACCGATGTGAAGAGGGAACTTTCTCTCAGGTTGAGTTATCCTATACCAACTTTTTACTGGGTTTCTTATACCTTTCTATGCAGCAGTTGGTGCCAAGTTCTTGGACCAGGTGAATAAGATTTTGGACCAGGTGAACCTGAAATCTGGTCTCATTAGGCATTCCTGTGACGTGGCTGAATCCTCAGAAAACATAGTATGGCAACTCGGAGCAATCACTGACTTTTCTGTGAAGTTCTTGAGATGGCCAATGATGACAGCATAGGTGAACAGAGCTTTTCCAGACCTCAAAATACATCGGTCCAGGGTTGAGATCCAGCTTTGAGGATGCTCCCATTTTATTTTATTTTATTTTAACCAGCTGGTTATCCAGTCCTTACATTTTTTATTCCCGTGTCCCACCGGGGTGTTGTGAACAAAGGCGGCCCAGCACACGACATCCTTGCTACCACTCCAGTTAATCTGAACACCAGCTGAGCACCCGTACCTCCAGGATGCTGGCAAGCTGAAACCTCTCTGAGCACATAGAGATGATCTCCCAACTTTGCCTCTCCACCCTCTGGCATCACACAGCTTCCTCCCCCTGCACTGAAGATGCATCTCCAGTATCAGAAATCTGTCACGGCTGGTGAACCCCTCCCTCCATTTCTTACATCCACCTCTGCTTTCCTCCTGGTCCCCTTGATGTGCCTCCTTCCTCTGTTGTTACTTTTATGCTCCACTTTCACTCCAATTATAACTATCCTGCCTTTATTTTCTATAACTCTACAGGCACTGGACCTACCTCTGCTAGCTTTATGCTAGCTAGCGCAGGCATTGGGAGCTGTCTCTCTCTGAAAGCATGGAGATCACCATAGGCTGCTAAACCTGGCTGAGAAGTGGGGTAATTTAACCTGCAGTGAGCTCTGTGTTGCTATGACCAGACTACTCCTTGGATGCAAGCTAATTAGTTTAAAGCTAGCTTGGGCATGCCTGACTCCACTGCAGGTGCCAGGCTTCTCCTCATGCATCCTCCATAGCACTGCACTGCAAGCTGGCCAGGCATCCCTCACTCTCAGCAAACTGATAAGCTTCCATCATCATCCTTGCAATGCCTGGGCACAAGCCATAATCTGCATTTGGAGCAGAAAGTGTGTCGGGAGAGACCAGGCTGGGCCGGGGGATGGTGTCTAAATGCACACGTGTATGCACGCACCCAGATGGAGCGCGGGGGAGGAATTCCCCGCAGACTGGCGTGTCCTGTGCTAACAGTGTGTGTAGAAACAGAGCATGTAGAAGATCTGCTGAACTGGCAGTTTCTTCAGGATAGGAATGTGTGGCAGCCTGGAGCGGGAGCAAGCTGTGACATGGGGGTGGGGAGGATGGCTGGTGACAGGGCAGAGAGGAGGGAGGCAGAGAGAAGCTGTGGCAGTGCTAAAGGGGCAGGAGGGAGGGCACCTGCTGCTCTCTAACTGGAGGGCAATGCCATTTCGGCTTTGATAGCCTTCCACTGGAAGAAAACTGGGCAGAGGGCACTACAGGAGCGATGTTTGGAAACACAGTATGCCCACACACTGCATGGGGTGCTTTGTAACATGGCCCGTGCATGCTCTGCAGGAAGCAGAGCTCTTCTGGTGCAGGGTGGTTGTTAGCATGACCTCAGTCATTGCCAAGTTGGGGTCAAAGGGACAAGCCCACCAAGCCAACAGCATGGGGGGCAACCTCGTGGCTGCCTGCTTAGTGACCACATACTGTGCTGCCCATGCTGATACTCTTCGTGGCCTGTAGCTGAGCGCTCATGCTGTCATTTACCATTAGGCCCCTTCTGAGCACCTTAGAAGAAGCACAGCCTTGTCCAAGTCTCCCTTTCCTTGTCTCCTGCCCACACCCTCACCTGCATGATCCACCATCAAATCCTCATGCGTTCTTATCTCAACTCTGCCTATGCACCGGCTCTGCAACTGCATGTGTGCCGTACAACATTGAGCTGACCCAAGCACTCCCGCAGGGCTGGCAACCTCTCTGAGCACCTGGGACTGCTCTTGGCCAGAGCAACTGGCCAGCTGCAGTGGCATGGAGCAGCCCCTGCAAACCTTCTTCCTACAACAGAGGCATTTACCATATGCCGTGGCAGTGTTAGGAGATGTTAATAGTGCATTTTTGGGTGAGTGTCCATGTGGTGGCCTTCAATGGCAAGGGGAGGTTAGGCAAATTGACTCTAGCTTAGGAGATCGTCAGGACCCTGGTAGGACTCCTTGGTCTGAGCAAGACTTACCAGTGTCTTGTAGTCAATCTGCTGCCTGATGAGCTTGTCCTCACTCAGCGAGTATCGGGCTTCCCCAGTGATGGAGTCGATGGGGCCCTTTTCCATCTGCTGTTTGATGGCGCAGAAGAGAGAGAAGAGAGGTTCGCCGGCACACTCCTGCATGGAGACAAGAGGAACAAAAACCAGGTGATGTCCCAAATACATCATGCCCCTGAGATCAGCCAGTCCTGATCTTCCAGGATGAGACTGTAGTTTTGTCAGATCCAGATGGCCTATTTGGCTGTGCTCTCTCCAATCTACCAGGGAGCTC